GATTCTATACAGTCTGTATTCTTTTTATTCGTCTACAGTGTTTCTACTATCGTATACTGTATAATACGGTATACGATGGTAGAGTCACTGTAGAGTATGAGTATGAGTATAAGAGACGTATAATCGGCCCCATTGCCTCATCACTTCCGGGCCCCGCATAGGCCTCTGTTTCCTTGCGCCGATTTTCTTTCGCCACCAGCAACGGCGCAGCTTCACCGGTGTTTGCTGGTTGCGAATGTACATTGCGTCCCATACTGTCCCCTAATTAGGGCTCGAGAGCGAAATGCCAATAGTTTTAGTAGCCATTTCCGGGTTCGCCGAGCCGATGTTATACGTCCAGTAGGGTAAGTACGACGCGGTACCCCCCTAGACCAGGCAGTTAGTATTACTCCAAACATTTGGGATTACTGTATGAAGTTTGGGAGTTGTTATTTTGCTGCAGGAGCCTACGTCTTGGTCTACGTTTTTGTCGTTATTGTTCGTGTCCCAGTAGGATTGTTCCTGCACATGTGTCTTCAGTCTTGAGGCCGAAAACCAGTTATTGTGTTGCCCAAGCACGTTTTGTGGTAGAGTTTTGTCTTTTTTTTCTTAAATTTCAAAATTAAGTATTGCATTTATTTATTAGTTAAACAAATGTCAAGCGGAATTATTCCGTTATAATCTATTGTGTTTACAAATCCAATAGAGTTTGATTATTATGCTGTTTTTACTATGTTAAGGTTTATTTTTAATAGATTTATTGTCCTACACAGCTTTGGTGTATCACCGCGATGGTTCGGTTGGGAAGTTTAGTTTTTTTTTATTTTTTGTCTTTTTTTTAATATTTATGGTGTTTGGTCTTTCTAATGTTTCTATTGTTACTGATGTTTATTGTTTTTTTTTCCTAGAGTTTAAGCAGTGTGCCTTTCTTAGGGTTTTAAAGATATCTGTCATGTTTAATTTGCAAATTTTGTTAGGTCATGCATCTGCTTAAGGATACTTATCGATTTTTTGCGGATGGCCACTTCCCCCCTTGTTTGACCTCTTTTGTTTGTTTAGTGAAAAGCGTCCAATGACAGGTGGTATACCTATAGGACCAGAAGCTGAAACTTGTCACTTAACTCTTTCATATCACTTAACACTTCACTATTTATTGACCGTTACACTATTTTAGTTTGCACTTTATGAAAATTGTTTGTTTCACTATAATTGGTTTGCACTTTTAAAAAATTATTTGTAGGTTTTAAACTTTAAACTTTTACGTTTTAAGAGCTGTCGCTGCACTACGCGTCATGCCTTGTTAAGAGCTGGAACCTGACTGATGGTAGAATCACTGTAGACGAATAAAGATTATATTTTAGTTTTATTTTGCCAGAAAAGTGACTTTTTAGCTTTTTATTTATACACTGATTGTTCATTATTGTTTTATAAACAAATATGTACCCAAATTGACACATAAACATGCTGATAAAAAAAATAAAAAATTAATGTAAAATCGTTTGCTTTGTAATAAAAAGCATTACACGTATTAAAACAGCATAAAGTTTCGTAAAACTAAATTAAATATAAATTTAAACATACTTACTTGTTTTTAAAAATCAATAATTATAGTTAAAAACTTTAAAATAAAAATATTAAAATGTGAGAATTTAATAAAAATTTGAGGGTAAATAAACCACTATAAACATTTGTTTCCAAATCTTCTGAGATTTGTTTGGAAAATATGAAATATGCTTTTAATTTGTTCTGCGAATTTCTTTTGGGATTATATTTGAGTTGACTTTATTTAATCTGTTATTTCATCTGTTAATACGTCGAAGGGTAAATAGTACAGTTATTGGCAAGTCGACAATATTTGGCCCTATATAAAAAACTAAATAATTAAATGATTTGATTTTTTTTCATACAACATGATTATACAGGGTGGCACATCAAAAACAGTCCATCGGTTTGTATGTAAAAATAAAAAAAATCTTCGAACCCGCATACTTTTATTTTCAGGGGAACATAATTAGGTACTTATCAATTTCATCACTGTAACTTCAACCTCCTAGCGGCGGCGGCATTCACCCTTATTTTTTTAAATTGGAAGGGGTATGTTTTTATATATCTTTTGAAAGGGCAATAAATTTTATTTAAAATGGTGCTTCATTTTTTAAATTTGAGCTACGCGTCGCCGAGAAATGGTATTCCAAACTTTTTACTGGACCGCTTAATAGAAATTTTGTAAACAAAAAATGTATTAAAAAAAAATGATTTTAAAATAACAAATATTAGTCGACAAATCGACTTTACCTTCAGTAAAGTAGCTGATGTGGATAGTTGTGTGCTTTTATTTTCTTTCGATTCGATAAAAAATGTTTATTCTATGGCGGAGAGAGTGGACATTATTAAATTGTATTTTATAAAAAGTCAATGTGCAAGAGTAACGGCAACTTTATTTAATTAGAGGCATTCAATTAGACACGTACATCATTCATTAGCATAATTAGCAGCAAAATTCCGTCAAACTGGTTCAGTGGCAAATAAAAAACGAGATATTGTAAATCCGGTGAGAAATGAGGCAGTAGAAGTAGCTGTTCTGGGTAGAACTACTTTGGACCCTACATTAAGTACCAGAAAAATTTCGCGGGCCACCGTAGAGAGAATTCTGAAACATGATAAATGGCCCAAGCAGCATTTTTGGTTCCAAAAACCATTACTTTTAAGTCAATTTAATTTGTAGCAGTTACTTTCAGTTGCTACCTAAAGATAACACTATAATTATTTTTACTTTGTAGTCCCTTTGCAACTTAAAAACTCGAAACTGGAACATGAGTTAAAAACTACAAAGTTAATAACTTAAAAGTTATTATTTTAGTTTTTGGAACGTTTATGGTACTAACCAAAACTACCGTAAAGTAAATTAAGGTGGAAAAAAACTTTAAAGTAGCGAAAACTTCTTCAAAGGAAAATGCTTTTTACGGCCATTAAATACTGTAAATACTGTACAGTAAGTACCACGTGGTAATGTAAATAATAAATTATTTTAATTGTTTGTAAATGGTTGTTTACTTTTTAATAAATAGTAATTTTGTTGGTTATAGACGGTATTAATAATAAAATAAAAAATTAATAATAAATATTAAGATTTTTTTATTTATAAACATTATTAAATAAATAATTTGTTTATACTTAAATATTGATAAAGCGCATTTATTTTACAAAAACTAAATTTCAACAGTAAAATTTAAAGGGTTTATAAATTTACCTGCCTAATTAAACATTATTTTGTTATTCTAGAAGTTATAAACTACTAGTACATATTTAATAAACGACGACATTGAAAAGCCAAGTCCTTAGTGGTTTCATTTAAAAAAGGAGGGATAATATAATCTAATATAAGTTTGACAAAGACGGTTAATATAGAAGTAAAAACAAATAAATAAAAGTAATTATAACGCTCTAGCAACGATATTGAAACGTTCTAGTAGCGTAGCAGCTACGCGTAGCTGCTACGCTACCTATAAACTATTTGGAACGTAGCTACGTTCCAAATAGTAGCAGGGTTTATAGGTAGTGACATATTTGTTACCTTTTTGGAACTCAATAATTGTTACCCACTTTAGTCGTAACTTAATAAAGAAAGAGTAATATAAAGAGACCGGCGACTGTCGCAAAACACTTTAAAGTTTCTTCAATAGTCCCATATAATCCTGATTTTATATAGTAACCATGATAATAAAAAATTAAAAATATATAGACGTACGGTAAAAAAATACTGTCAAAGTAAAATCATTGTCGGCAATGTTTTAAATGTGATTATTTCCCTCAATATAATATGAACCAATTAAAAGTCTTGAGTTTTCGAATAAATTTCGTTTAAATAAGCGATTATATTAAATTTTAGCCTCCATATTGGATTTTTGTTTACGATTTTATGGTGTTATTTACAAGTTTTAACAAACATTTTTTAAAAAACAATAAAAAATAAGTTATCTAGTTTACGAAATATCAATTATTACTTATTACATACCTTAAATTAATGGAATTTTCTTTAAAAAAATATTTATTTATAAACTTTTACACATACGTCAGATTTTATGAATGGTCAAATAGTTTCCTTTAATTCGAGAAATAATCTAGACGTATATCACTCAACCTATAAATTTAATCTGTCAAACAAAAATTATTTTGCATTCAACATTTTCCAACAAAAACCAAACAAAAAACTACTGAGCCTAGTTTACCCGATTAAATTCATGGTTCTCGTGATATAATATATGAATATTTAAATTATTATATGAATAGTTTTTTAAGTTCCAGTAATATATCACATTTGTGTTTTATTAATTTTATTCTAAGACAAGCATTTTATTTAACAAAATTTCAAAAATTTAAGATTTTGAGTCTAAAACAAAAAAGTTTTACGAAGTTTCAAGTTCATTTTATTTTTGTCTGATAGGTTACTTACTATATTTAATATCAATCTGAATAAAAATAATTTCCATCGACTTCCATTTTGAGATAGACCGTAATTTTTTAGGAAATGAGGGTCGCGTATCTAGAGAGGATATGTTCCAGTTTTTTCAATGTAGAAAATATTTATCATGTAATACAAGTCCCCTAGTACGGAATAAGGCTCTTTTGTTTGTTAAAACCAAAATTAAAAATGAAAATATGTCAGATGAAAGTGAAAAATATATTGCAAATTAAATCAAGCAATTTTCAACAAATTTGCTTTCGAGGTGGAAAAAATGCCATCAAAATGTAAATCGCTTCTTCATGGTTGGAAAAAGACTTTGTTTCCGATATATCAAATACGAGTGAGTTAAAATACAGAAAAGGTCTTCCGAAAAAGACATTTGCAAATAGTAATTTAACCATAAAAAAAGAAAAACTAGTACTTTAGTAAAATCTCAAACTCCAGAAGAACTTGCTTTGGCTGCACAGGTTAGTTACAAGACCTCAGGAAGGCGAAGTGTTGCGCAGTTAATAAATAAAGTAACAAATAGTAGTCTCGAAACTTAAAAAAAGTGATAATGGCTCTTCAACCATCCGAGGCGAATAAGCTAATATCTAGTTACTCACCAGATGAAGCACTGGCTTTGATGGTTGATTTAAAATTAACAAAACATCAATACATTGCAATGCAAAAGGGTGCAAATAAAAGAAATGTCAATCTCTATCCCCCGTATTATTTGGTGCTTCAATCCAAAGTTAAGTGTTATCCCAATGAGATAGTCATCTTGGAAAATTCAGCCGAAATTAGGTTGCAAAAATTATTTTGGTTTGAAATCTTAGAACATAAACCTGCAATTTCTTCTTTATTACTACAATTGGAGTGTAAAGGGGGCTTAGATGGTAGTGGCAGTCATTCAATGTACAAGCAAAAATTATTCAGTGAAAATTTTAACACCAATGATGCAGACATTCTTTTAAGTTCATTGGTACCTTTGCGACTGCACTTTAAAAATAAAGATAACGACCAAACCGTGGTCGTCTGGCAGAACCCAGGTGCTCATCTACAAGATTTTGCAGGCCCATTCGTTTTAAATTCTGCAACGAGATAGCCGATGTTGCTAGATCAGAAGTTGAGTATATAGAAGCCCAGATAAAAACTCTATCACCAACAAAATTATTGACATCTTCTGGCCACGAAATCCTTGTAGAATATAAACATAAAACGATGGTAAATATGAAAATTTGTAATTCATTAATGGGAAATTCTGCCTCTCAAGTAGGTTTTACAACGACCACTTCAAAAAAAGGCGTTTGAATTGGGTCTTTCTACATTACATGCCCATTTAAAATTTTTCGAATGCATTCTGCATCTATCGTATAGACTGGACATTAAAAAATGGCAAGTTCGGAGCCCAAATGAAGAAAAGGCAGCATTTGAAGAAAGGAAAAATCTATCATATCGGCTCTTAAGTCAGAATTGGGCCTTTTGGCTGATGTTGTCAAGCAAGGCTATGGCAATACAAATGATGGAAACACCTCTCGCAGATTTTTCGAGGACAGCACAAAAGCAAGCGAAATCACTGGGGTTGATGAAACACTTATTCGTCGGTTCTCCGTTATTCTCCAAGCTTTATCCAGTGGTTATCATGACGTTGATCAATTTAGGAATTATACTCTAGACTCTAGAGTCTAGAGACTGCAAAACTTTATGTAAGACTTTACCCTTGGTTTTATATGCCAGTTTCCATACACAAAGTACTCATTCATGGTGCAGAAGTTATAAAATATTTTCTTTTACCCATTGGCCAGCTTTCAGAAGATGTTCAAGAAGCTCTACACAAAGAATATAGGCATTATCGGGAACACAATACAAGGAAAATTTCAAGAATAAAAAGCAATAAAGATTTAATTCATATCTTTTTAGTTTCGTCAGATCCAGTCATCTCAAATATAAGAAAATTGCCTGTTAAAAAAGCAAGCACTTTTTCAACTCAAGTTTTAAATTTGTTGAAAAATCCTGAGCTCGAATAGATAAAATAACTAAAAAGATATTATAGTTTTAAATACATTAGTTCCTTAGATTTATATAGATTACTTATAATTCGTTATAATAATTAGGATATATTTTTTTGTAAAACCCTATATTATTTATAAATAAATTTTGTTAAATTCTATTTTAAAATTTATAATTTATTAAAATAAATTTCAATAAAAGAATAAAAAATTATAGGATTATTTTAAAAAAAAATCTAGGTTCTTTATGGTTGTTCTGGTAGGCTTTTTTGTTTTACCCTGTATAATATAAGAATGTTTTAGTGGTTATTTATATTGTAAACTATAAACAGCCAATATTAAATAAAAATAACATAAATTTATTATCCACATAATAATGTTGCTTTTTGTATTGCTAATTTTGACAAATTGACCACAGTGCGGCGCACCGTTTACAATTTTGTAAAATATTGTCCGAAATAATTATAAATGGATTGTCAATGGTCATAATTGTCGTTATTGGGCCAACACAAATCCATGAGGTGCATAGTATGCACTGCATACTCAACATCCTCAAAAATTAAACGTTTGGGATGGTATTTTTGGTGATCACATAATTGGACTATTTTTATTACCAGGAAATTGAAATGAAGCTTCTTACTTAGACTTGTTATAGAATGCCGTCAACCCAGCGCTGATCGAAATTATGGAAAACCCTTTCAAAAGATGTATAACAACATACCCCTTCGCATTTGAAAAAATAAGGGTAAATGTCGCCCCCGTTAAGGGGTTGAAGTTACAGTGATAAAATTAATGCGTAAATATGTCCCCCTGAAAACAAAAGTATACGTGTCCAAAGATTTTTTTTATTTTTACATACAAAGCCGTAAACCTTGATGGACTGTATATTCTACTATGCATTGGATATATTTAGTAGTTTTTTTTATTTTAAAGGGTTAATCAATAAAATATCGAACTGAGATTCTTTCTTTACCAAAACCTATTGGTTTAAAGTATTTTAACAGATTGCTTTCATAGAATTACCAAAAATAGAAACTTAAAAAACTGTAAAAATTTGTTTTTCCGCCGATAAACCATAGTGCGCGTCTTGCTGTAACAATAAAATTAGTATTAATTTAATACGTATTATTGAAAAATTAACGTACACAAAAAGAGATTTGCTTCATAACAACAAAAATTCCATGAAACGCTTTACAATTTGAAACATAAATAAAACTAACCTAACTTTAATATTCGATACCGTTTCACAGGAATCAACAACGACAAACATTTCATTTTTAATTATCAGACAGGAATTTTTAAGTTGAAAAAAGTTAATAGGATTTTACTATAATTTAAAACAAAGAGATTTATTTAAGGGATGAAATATATACTTTTTCAGGAACTTTATTTTTACATGGGTGAAAGGGCACTGCAGTGCACTGGGGGGACTCATGTGGGAGACTTATGTCACACCCCAACAAGACGAACCCAAGAAGGGGCATAAACGTAACCATGGACATATTGCACTAAGATTAAATCTTACATTGAAAGGGAGCCAGCAAGATGTAATACTTACATCTTACAATTGTTATGATCAACAAGAAGAACTACCACCCGCTATGCTTAGGGCTCTGGTGGAACAACTTGGAACAGCTAACCTGATAATGAGATGTGATGTCAATGCACACCACACAATTTGGGGGAGCACTGACATCAACCAACGTAGTGAGTCACAACTTAACTACTGCCTCTCCACAGACATTAATATTCTTATACCGGGAATGAACCAACCTTCGTAAGTGAAGTGAGTGAAATTAGTCTCTCAGATCACATATATACAAGATTCGAAGGATACCTTTGATCTTGAACTACCCACCGAGTTAGATTACATTAAAGATGGTTATAAGCTTATGTCCACTGCGTCGCTCAAAGCAAAAAGATGTCCTTGGTTAAACTATAAATCCGCAAAAGAAAAACCAGAAAGCTGTTTAACACAGCCAAAAGAATGGGAGTATGGGATTTCTACAGATACCATCTAACCGAATACAACAATGCCATTCATAGTATTATCCTTTGTAATGTTGTCCAATTCTAAATCAAAATTTGTTACATAAATGTTTGGCCCGATCCATAAGGTTTTTAATAATCCCAATTTATGTTGATTGGGTGTAATAAGAGTTAAAATTAAGGTATTGCTCTTATGTGTACCTATATGTTTTCAGGACACTGAAGTCTCTTAGAATGAATCTGCTCTTGTTATTTTCAAGTCCAAAAAAAATAGCTGGTGGTTTAATTCTTTTTTCGTAGTAAATTTAATGAAATGTCTTGTTGAATTAAGATGTTGGAAAAACCTATTTAATGTGTCGCTGTACCTGTTTCAAATGATGAAGGTAGTGGTGAGCTCATTGGTAAGCCTTCTGTTTCGGTGTAAAACTTATCTTTTTTTTTGAAGTAGGTTGTTTTGATGCAGAATTTAAGCAGTTCTATGATTCCTTGTAAAAGTCCAAAATAGTACCTGTCTGTAACCGTCGTCTTATGACTGAGTATTCTTACAAGCTTTCAACATCAAAGCTGACTAATTATACTAATGTGACTAGGGTTATTCCTTAAATTGACTTTTCCCCCCTAAAGCTGATTATAGGATATAGCAAAAAGCGTGCTGGTTAATAAAATACTGTCCAAGATATTACTTTTTTGCGGTCAAATTTTAAGTCTTTGTAAAAAAAAGATATGTTCGGTAAACAAAGCTGTTTTAATTTGTGATGATTTTATTTAATATTTTATTTTATAAAACTAAACAAAAATTCTATACTTATAATTTTAAACATAACACAAGTACCTAATATCTGATTTTGGGTTTAAATAAGTTAATTTTTAAAACATTGTATTTCAGTTTTTCCTTGTTACCCAATGATATACAGTGCACAATAAATAATAAAAATAAATCTCAATTATTTGAGATATCCCATGATAAACTTCCTTTTCCTCTTTCTAGCATCAGTGCAAATAATAAATCGCGTGGAGATCCTTTTTAGTTAGGTAATTGAATTGAGGTGACACAATACACCATTAGCATTAAGGCTGACAATTCAATTTTGGAATCATTGAAAGGAAATGGAAGAAAAATAAAATATAACGGGAATGTATTTGGTCCAATAAGTATACACTACGGGTCTTAGTGTGTTTTTAAATTTTAAGGATTTAAATAACTTTTTTTGGATTTTATTTTAAGCTAAAAAGTCAAAGTTTTGAATTTAAAGTTATAATGTTTTCCTATTTTTGTTTTCTATTTCTTAAAATATATTTTAAATACATAATCTAGTCAATTGTTGTTAATATACAGGGTGTATCACGGTCGATGGTAAGTTAGACGTTTATCGAGAACGGCAAAAGATATCGAATTGAAATTTTTATAGCAATTATAATATCATTTAAACTATTTTTCTAAATTATTTTAAATAAAATTCCTCTTCCGGTTTTAACGGAAGCGATATCAACTTTGTTATTTTAAATGGATCACCACAATTTTTTTTTACATTTTTAAATTCTTATCATCATTCCTTATAAAATGGCTATACCATGTTCTATACCTAAATTTAATAGTTTTTGAGTTATTAAGTTTTTTTGTAAAATTCGTTCAGTTTAATTTAATAGTTTTTGAGTTATTAAGTTTTTTTGTAAAATTCGGTCAGTTTCACCCTCAACAAAAAAAGCTTATAACTTTTTAATATTAGGTTTCCTGATATTCGGTCGGATTTATTGGAATCCTGAAGGATTGTTTTAAAGATTCCATGTAATTTATTGTAATATTTCTAAAAAGGTACTTGAAAAAAAACAATGTGAATGTAGCTAACTTAAAACAGCAAAAACTTTTTTATTTTCAATGGAACGCCCTGTATATTTTTACATAATTAAATATGAAATTATAATACCTTTTTATTGATATAACTATTCCCTATACCTAAAGTTAATAATAACAAAGATATTTTACAATTCCTATTATTTAAAAGTTTAATTTTTTAAATTTTAGTTTTAAATTAATAAACAATACAATTGGAATCTACGAATGAGTTTCAAAAACTGTATGTATTTATATTATAAGAAAATAATACAT